GGCCCTTGCTGGACGGGCCGGTTCCTAGCGGTGGTGGCCGCGAGGCAGACCGGCCCCAGGGCACAGATCAGACCAGGGCATGCGCCCGCCGACTCACCTTGAGGTTCCTGTGCACAATCTTGAGCGAATGCAGGTAAGCGACGGCCTCCAGCACCTGGCGGATGACATTGCTGGTGTCCCGCTCCGAGTAATAACCCTGGTCCAGGATCCAGTCGAACACCTCCCGGCCTGTGGCCCTGCATGGGCAGACCGGCCCCAGGGCACAGATCAGACCAGGGCATGCGCCCGCCGACTCACCTTGAGGTTCCTGTGCACAATCTTGAGCGAATGCAGGTAAGCGACGGCCTCCAGCACCTGGCGGATGACATTGCTGGTGTCCCGCTCCGAGTAATAACCCTGGTCCAGGATCCAGTCGAACACCTCCCGGCCTGTGGCCCTGCATGGGGACAAGGCCCGTGCCTGAGAGCAGCAGGATCCGGCCTCGTACCAGCACCCCAGCTATGACGGGGCACCCCGTGGCCCAGCTGCTGCAGGGACTCAGGACCCTCCCCGTCCATCAGGACAGCAGCCTGGGCTGCCACTCAAGGCAGGAGCTGTGCAGGGGCCCGGCCCCACCCGAGGCAGGACGTGGAGCGCGTCTCATGAGCGCAGGTAACCTATGGGGAGCCCCTGCCTTTCTGGGTGCCTGGCGGAACCCAGGCTCCTGTGTCGAGACTTGCAGCAGATTTGGCTGAGCCGCTCCCATGCCAGAGGCAGGCTCACAGCGTGGCCCTGAGCACTCCTGATGCTTCCCACAGCAGGCTGCAGCTGAATCTGGGGAGGAGCAGGAATCAGAACCTTGCTGGCATGTCAGGGCATTGGTGGTGGACCCTCCCTGCAGGACAAAGGGGCTGCTGGGAATGAGCCAGCGGGCGTCTGGCATGGCTGCCCCAGAGGGGCCCCGGAGCTGCAGGGCGGGGGCTGCAGGCAAAGGAAGGTCCCCGGGGCACAGGGCCCTGGCAGGGCCGAGCTCACGTACAGCTCTAGGAAGATGAAGTACTCCTTGCGGGTGACGTACACATCCACCAGCTGCAGGATATTGGGGTGCTTCACCCTGGGAGAGCGAGAAGAAGGTCAGGGGCTCTGCCCAGACGGGGCCACGTCCCTGCCTCGTCAGGCACAGACCCTGCCCAGCTCCGCTCCCGCTGGCTCTCCGGGGAGCCCTGCAGGCCACGGGAAGGGGAGGCTGAGCCGGGGCAGAGCTGGGCACAGCATGGGGGCAGGGCCAGGAGGGCACCTCGCATGGGCCCCACCCCGCCCCACTGCTCCCCACTTGCTCAGGCCTTCCCAGTGGAGGAGGGAGAGGAGCTGGGGGCACAGGGGACCAACAGCGGGCTGTGCTCCCCCAGCAGCAGGGCAGAGCGGGCGGAGGGAGACCCAGAGCTCTGCTAGGGACCCAGGTGACCTGCCTCTGACTGGCACCAGCTGGGCTCTGCCTTGGACGGATGAGGGACCTGGGCCAGCCCCAGCTCTCTGTGCCCATCTCAGCCCCGAGCCAGGGCCTGCAGGGAGCTGGGTTGCGCTACACGTCCAGCAGAAGGGGGCACGGGGAGGATGCTGGCTGCTGGTATCCAAGGGACATGCCCGGCCCATTGGGCAGAGG